AGTATGCAGACCGATGTTGGACCGTTCGGTGATCGTGTTCATCGATGATATACTGGTGTATTCGAGATCCAGAGAGCAGCATGAGGAGCATTTGAGAGAGTTACTTGGAGTTTTGAGATCGGAGAGGCTTTATGCCAAATTCTCCAAGTGTGATTTCTGGTTACGAGAGGTCCAGTTCCTAGGGCACCTCGTTAACCAGAATGGGATATTGGTCGACCCGGCCAAGATTGAGGCGGTTATGAGTTGGGAGGTGCCGAGATCCCCCACCGAGATCAGGAGTTTCTTAGGGTTGGCTGGCTATTATCGGAGATTTATCAGGGATTTCTCCAAGATCGCCGTGCCACTCACCAGGTTGACCCGGAAGGGTGTTGCTTTTTCATGGGGACCAGAGCAGCAGGCCTCCTTCGAGACACTTCGCCAGAGACTGTGCGAAGCCCCAGTGTTAGCCCTTCCGGAGGGGATGGAGGACTTTGTGGTGTATTGTGACGCATCGATATCGGGGCTGGGAGCGGTGCTGATGCAGAAAGGGCATGTGATAGCATACGCATCGAGGCAGCTGAAGCCTCACGAGACGAGGTATCCCACCCACGATCTGGAGTTGGGGGCTGTAGTGTTCGCCCTCAAGATCTGGCGTCACTATCTGTATGGGGTTCGGTGTACCATATACACGGACCACAAGAGCTTGAAGTACTTGATGGATCAACCCAACCTGAATATGCGCCAGAGGAGATGGTTGGACGTGGTAAAGGATTACGATTGTGAGATCCTGTACCACCCGGGCAAGGCTAACGTTGTAGCCTATGCCCTAAGTCGTAGGGCGGAGAGCGCCCCGATACGGGACGTTTGTATGAGATTGACAGTGATGACTCCGGTGTTGGACACCATCCGAGGGGCCCAGGCTGAGGCCGTGAGACCGGAGAACCGCAAGAGAGAGCGGGTTATCGGATATGTATCGGAGTTTGTTACCGATAGCAGAGGGCTTATGACCTTCCAGGGTCGGATCTGGGTGCCATTTGTGGGCGGGGCACGTACCATATTGATGGAGGAGGCACACCGATCGAGGTTTTCGATCCATCCCGGGGCCACTAAGATGTATTTGGACCTGAGAAGAGATTATTGGTGGCCCTGTATGAAGAGGGATGTAGCATGGGTTGTTGAGAGGTGCTTGACCTGTCGCAGGGTTAAGGCCGAGCACCAGAGGCCGCATGGTAAGTTGCAGCCGTTGGAGGTTCCCGAGTGGAAGTGGGAACAGATTACCATGGATTTTATCACCAAATTGCCAAGGACTGCGAGGGGCGTCGATGCAATTTGGGTGATTGTGGACAGGTTGACGAAGAGCGCTCACTTCCTTGCTATCAGTGAGAGCTCCTCCGCTGAGAGGTTGGCAGAGTTGTACGTGAGGGAGGTGGTATCACGGCATGGAGTGCCGATCTCGATCGTCTCAGATCGAGATGTGCGTTTCACTTCCAGATTCTGGAAGAAGTTTCATGAGGAGTTGGGTACGAGGCTACATTTTAGTACCGCATACCACCCCCAGACAGATGGGCAGAGTGAGCGGACGATTCAGACGCTCGAGGACATGCTTCGGGCATGTGTGTTGGATTTCGGAGGGAGTTGGGACACATACTTGCCCTTGGCTGAGTTTTCCTATAACAACAGCCATCATTCGAGCATCGGTATGCCACCCTTTGAGCTGTTGTATGGGAGGAGGTGTCGGACTCCTATTTGCTGGGGTGAGGTCGGGCAGCGTGTGATGGGTAGTACAGAGATAGTACTTCAGACGACTGAGCAGATTCAGCAGGTCAGACAGAGGTTGTTGACCGCTCAGAGCCGCCAGAAGAGTTATGCGGACAGACGTCGCTCGGGGCTTGAGTTCCAGGTTGGTGATTTAGTACTCCTGAAGGTATCTCCTTGGAAGGGGGTGATCCGATTCAGGAAGATGGGTAAGTTGGGACCTCGGTATATCGGTCCTTTCAGGGTGACTGCCAGGGTGGGCAGGGTAGCGTATCGTTTGGAGCTACCTACGGAGTTGAGCCAGATTCACGATACCTTCCACGTGTCTCAGTTGAGGAAGTGTATCGCTGATGAGTCGGCAGTGGTTCCGTTAGAGGACATTCAGGTGGATGCGAGCCTGAATTATGTTGAGAGACCGGTTGCGATTGTGGATCGAAGGATCAAGACTTTGAGAAACAAGGAGGTGCCATTGGTTCAAGTCCAGTGGCAACATCGGAAGGGTTCTGAAATGACCTGGGAGCCGGAGTTAGAGATGCGCGAGCAGTATCCAGAGTTATTTGTTGAGTGAGACTTCGAGGGCGAAGTCTGATTCTAGTGGGGGAGAATTGTAACATCCGGATTCCCAGGTATCTTAAATTATGTATTTTATTGAGTTTTGGAGAGAGACTCGGCGAGTAGGCGCTCAGACTCGCTGAGTAGAGTCGCGAATCTCCATCCGGGTTAATGACTGGACTCGGCGAGTCCATACGTGGACTCGGCGAGTCCACGCTGTTTAATGAAACCCTAATTTCTCGGGTTTGGGGACTATTTAAAGGCCCTTATGGCCGCTATTTGAGGTCACCAGTCATAGAGAGAAACCCTAGAGTGCTTGAGCGTTTTGGGAGAGGAAGGAAGCCATTTTTTTGACCTTGGGAGTGTTGTTTAGCAAGAAGAAGGAGGTACTAGCCAAGAGGAAGCATAGGAGATTGCTATTCTGTGGATTTGGAGCTAAGATCTTCACATTTGAGGTAGTAATTCGACTCCCCTTCTGTTCTTATGATGATCATATGGATTTAGGGTTTCTTAGACCCTTTGTTGCTTAGATTTGAAGCCCAAATAGTCCCTTATGATGAGGAGGCTTTGGATCTGGATCCATAGAGGTCCAGAGAGCCTTATTCATTAAGCTTTTTGAATAACAATGGAGGCTATGACCTTGAGTTATGGTATTTGGGGCTAAATCATCATATATGATCAAATAGATGTTGTATGTGCATCAAGATGGAAACTTTACGTGGTTATTGAGTTTTGGAATGATAGATCTATTGGTTAGAGGACTGGATCTGACCTCAGGAAGTTGTTTGAGGATGTGCATGGAATGAACTCGCCGAGTCCATGAACGGACTCGACGAGTAGAGTCGGGTAGCCCCGCGACTCGCAACCTGTGACGACTCGTGGAGCATAGGGTTGACTCAGTGAGTCGGAGGGAATTAGAGGACTGGAGTTCAAGGCGGAACTCGCCGAGTCCATGAACAGACTCGGCGAGTTGAGTCGGGGTGGCCCCGCGATTCATGCCAGGTGTCACCCGTCGAGTAAGGGGAAAGACTCGACGTGTCATGCGAGATCAGAAAGATAGTGGGCACGTGTAGACTCGCCGAGTCGCCCAAGTGCACTCGGCGAGTCGGGTCAAAGTTTGACCGTTGACCTTTATTGACTTTTAGGGTTTGGTCAACTTTAGGGTCTTTGAGCCATGAGAGGGGTAAAATGGTCTTTTACCCTTCTGAGAGTACTAAGAGGAGGAATAGTCTAGCCTTGAGAAATGTATTGATTCAGAGTGTTTATTTCATATGATAAGGCGGAGGCTAGACCCGACTTTACAGAGTTCGAGCTTTACCGAGTTAACCGAGGTGAGTCTTCTCACTATACTTTACCTAGAGTGGTAATTAGAGCTATGAGACAGAGTATTGTGTATGCTTTTGCATGATGTGATTTCTATGTGTTATATGCTATGTATGTTACAGAGTTTTCAGAGTTAGGACCGGAAGGTCCACAGAGTTAGGGTCAGAGGACCCATAGAGTTAGGGCCAGAGGGCCCACAGAGTTATGGGACTGGGGGGTCCCACAGAGACACTTTGACCATAGTGTCAAACAGAGTTATAGCCTCGAGTGGCTAATATGTGTTATGTGTGGTATTTTGGGGAACTCACTAGGCATTTATGCTTACAGTGTTGTGTTATGTGTCTAGGTACCAGCGAGGATCGCGGGAAGGCGCCAGCTTGATCAGTACACACGCGGGGAGATTTTATTATGATCTTGGGAGATGATGTTATGTGATACAATGGTGTTTTTATAACGATTATGAATGAAAACATGTTTTATAAAATGTGAAAAATTGTTTTGAAAATTTGGGTATTACACATAAAATATATACAGTGTCAAAATCCCCTTTACAAGGGATGTTGTAGCTTCCAAGAAGCTATGAATATTGCTCGAGAACATTTTGGGTTAAACAGTTTTTTCATAGAACCTGAACAGGTGAAGACATTTTCAGAAATAGCAAAAACTAGTCCAGAGCAAATGATTAAAGCTCAGGAAGAAATTATTGCTAAGTTACAACAACAACTTATGCAATCTGGAAAAGATACACAGCATATACAAGGCAGATTGAAAATAATATTTTGAAACAAAAAATAAAAATTCTTGAAGCAAAAAATGTACAGCTTATACAAAGGAATGAGAAAAAAGATGAAAAATTAAAAACAACAATATACAGAAACTATGAATGTTTTAAAGCTCGCATTTTAGATCTCCCTTGGAGACAAACGTTGAGGCCAGTACTTGATCATTTTAAAGAATTTGAGCAAATGGTGTCTCAAAAAATTTGTATAGAATTTCCAGCAATTTTATATAAATTACAGCAGAAGATTGTACAAATTGCTTTTCAAGAAATCAATTATAAAAGAGTTACAGTAATCCAAAGATTGAATGACGAAGGAGAAGATATTCTCATACTCCTGTTACAGATAAACCTAAAGACCACAGAAATACCAGAGGAACAGATAATTAATTTTTATCATAATGGAATGATAGATTACTTAGAATTCTGCCTCAATAGCAGCACATAAAGTTTTCTTAATAAATTAGGAAAAAATTTTATTTTAACAGCCGGAAACATAAACATAGCCTAAAAATAAGAAGGGTTTGAATTTGGTGATAAAAGTAAATCAAGAAAAGAATAAAAGAAAACCAATAGAAAAAAGGTTAAGTGGGGGCAACTGCGATTTATGTAAACAACCATCAGTTTCCAGTTTCCACTACGCACCATCCATGGCCATGGCCACCACTCGAAACCTTTCTTCTTACTCCCCTTTCCTTGTATTGCCTACCACCACCACCGCAGCATCTCCTGCTATGTTTCAATCTAATCCTAATACTAGTATTAGTATTAGAGCTTTACTCACCACTCCGCCTGCGTCTATTTCTCATTCACGTCCTCAAATTCTAAACATTCCTGCCAAAACCAATCAATTGCTTTACTTGGAACACTCCAAACATACACAACGGGAACCTCCTCGTTGGTTTTCTCCGTTGGACTCCTTCTCCTCCTCTCGATTGCCCAACTCCCCTCTTCTCCTCTATTTACCAGGTACACATCTTTATATGAATATATGAATGGATCAGCCAAAAGTTTAATCTACTATTTATTTATATTCACAGGTATTGGTGGAAGTGGACTCGGCCTTTCTTCGCATCATCCAAGACTTGGAGAGTAAGTCCTGCTCCTGCGGATTTATCAGATCCAAATGATCGATTATACATCCTCCACACTCACTCCACTTTTGTATTGTTCATCCCATCCCTAACTAATTTGGTATAAAATGCCTCTTCATCTTAATTGTAATGGTCTTCGAAGGCCTAATCATATCAGATTTGGTCTGGTGCTTGATAGTGGAACTGGTTATGGCATCTGTTAACTTATTAGTTATTACGAATTTATCCCTGACCCCGTCCCCTAAATTGAAGGGACTGCTAATGAAATTGAATACCACGAGAGAGAGTATTCATAAATATATTTGAATATGACATGTGTTAAAGGTTCCTTCTTATAAAATATATAAATGGTGGATGCAAAGCAGTGACTAATTTTTGCTTTATTCCTTCCCTGACAAATGTAGGATGTTTGATATATGGTGCCTGCATATACCTGCTACAGATAGAACACCATTCCCAGGTCTTTTTCCATTAATTTACTTAATAACTTTTAGATATAGCAATTAGCAAGCAGTGTACATGAGTTGGATATATAGAATGTGCACTTTCGCCATTCTACAGGGACAGAGGCCTGTTAACACATAATACAAACACTCTTCTAGTACGTACTAACTCCTAACATAGAAAATGCATCATATATAAGCTTGTTAGCCATGACATATATTGTAATCTATCTTGTACTAACTAAAACATGATTTGGTTCAGAACTAGTGAAGCTGGTTGAAAGCACTGTTAAGTCCGAGCATTGCCAATCGCCTGAAAGGCCACTATATCTCGTGGGCCAGTCTTTTGGGGCTTGCCTTGCACTTTCTGTTGCTGCACGCAATCCTGAGATTGATATTCTCTTAGTTTTGGCCAACTCAGGTGTGTGTGTGTGTGTGTGTGTGTGTTTCAACTGATCAAAAATTTCTTTTTTCCACCATTAACATATGCAGTTAACAGTGTCTGTCTCCTTTGTAGCTACATGTTTCAATGGGTCACAGTTTCGTCCATTGATACCCTTGTTAGAAGCCATGCCAAAGGAACTTGGTGCCAGCCTGCATGATATGCTTAATCTGATCACAGGTAATTTCTTGAAAGCTATATATGTTTTTTTTAGGGTCCTAAAAAGATAAAGATTGTGAAAAAAATGAGTTATTTTTCTTTTACCTACAGGCATGGCTACACAACAAAGAGATACAGGGCTCTCTGAGGCTCTTGTAGCAATGTTCTCCGACCTTCCTGTAAGATTTAATAGAATCTGGCCGGTCTTCCTCTTATTATATATATATTGGATATAATTATTAACTTCAAGTGTTAGTTATTTTTAGATAATGATAACAGCTCTTTTTATGCTATATTCATGTGTAATTGTGTTTGTGATGCAAAAAAACAAGAAATTTGAGATGAACAAGAATTGTCTTTACTATGATGAAATACGTACAAGCCAAAATTGGAATGTAAAAACAGTCTGTACATCTATAATAACAAATGGGTCAAAACTCTGTTTTTGGCTTTTGCCTTATTTCCATAACTAGCCTGCCCCTAGATTTAAGCCTTATTTTGAATATTATAAGTGAAGTAAAAAACTCACAAGATTGATGGATTGGTTGATGTTACAGGGCCTAGCTGAAGTATTATCTGTGGAGACGCTTGTATGGAAATTGAAGTTGCTTGATTCAGCTTGTTCATACACCAATTCACGCCTCCATGCTGTCAAAGCTCAGACACTTATTCTCTCCAGGTTCACTCACCATCTTTCATATTTTCAGTTTTTTACACGCTAATGCTTCCTGCTTTCTTTTTTTATTTATTAATTTTCACATCTTTTCAGTGGTAAGGATCAGTTGTTACCAAGTCGACAGGAAGGTCAAAGACTTCATCGTCTACTACCAAAATCTGACATTCGTATATTTGAGGACAGTGGCCACGTGCTCTTTATGGTAGCAAAGCAATCCTCCCTCAACATTTTTTTTTTTTGGATAAATGCTAAATTATATCTAAATTTGACAGGAACAAGATCATGACTTGGTTACTACTCTAAAAGGCACCAGTTTTTATCGCCGTACAAGAAATGTTGATTACGTATTAGATTACTTGCCACCAACCCCTTACGAGTTTCAGAAAGCAAGAGAATCACACAGGTAACCTCAACTCAACTTGACTATAGTCTATATACATGATATTGGCATATTCCCTTAATTATGATATGCATGTAGATTTGTGGAGGCAGCTTTCTCTCCTGTGATGCTGTCGACTTTGGAAAATGGGAAGATAGTTAGAGGGCTCTCAGGGATACCTTCAAAAGATGAGGGTCCGGTTTTATTTGTTGGGTACCACATGATGCTAGGGCTTGAATTGGCTCCCTTAATTGCTCGTATTTTTTCTGAGAGAGGGGTACTTGTGCGGGGGGGTAGCTCATCCAATGATTTTTAAGAAACAGAAACAAGGAGGGAGATTGCCTGATATATCACAATATGATACATACAGGCTAATGGGAGCAGTTCCTGTCTCACCAACTAACCTCTTTAAACTCTTCAAAACTAACTCCCATATACTTCTCTATCCAGGTGGCATGCGCGAAGCTCTTCACAGAAAGGTAAGGCTGCGTTTAATTACGGTTTTCAGTTTTCATTGGAAAATTTAGAAAATTAGAAACCAGTGGTGGTAGGGTGGGGGTGGGTGGAGTGGTGGTGGAGGCGGTGGTGGCAGTGGTGGGGGCGGCGGAGGTGGCAGTGGTGGTGTGGATGATGACAATGGTGGTGGTGGTGGCGATGATGGCGACAGTTGTGGTGGTGGTGGGGTGGTAGTGGTTGCGGAGGTGTGACAGTGGTAACCGGGTGGTGGTGGTGATTGTGGCGGCAGTGGTGGTGGTGGATGTGATGGTAGGTTGGAATTTACGGTAGTGGTGGTGTGTGTGTGTGTGTGTTTTTGTGGGGAAAGTGGTGGGGGTGGGGTGTGCGTGTGTTTGTGGGGATGGGAGTGGGTAGGTGTGGGTGGGTTGGGGGTGTTAGGGTGGGGGTATGTAGAGGTGGGCGGGTGTTTATATTTTTAAAATTTTTTGGAATTAGAAAAATATGGAAACCAATGATTATTGGTTTTCCAAAATTTTCTAAGTTCTTTGTAATTTTGGAAAACTGAAAATTTTCATTTTCGGTGAAAAATTTAGAAAAATTGTTGAACTAAACGCGTTTTCAAAATTCTAATTTTTCTTGGAAATTTTTTCTGGAAAACGGCTCATTTTTACGTAACTAAACGCACCCTAATATTCTTTTATTTATTTATTTTTAAGTAATATAAAATCTATGTTTTCTGGTGTTTCTTTTTCAGGGTGAGGAGTATCAATTATTCTGGCCAGACCAGTCTGAGTTTGTGAGGATGGCTGCTATGTTTGGAGCCAAAATCATACCTTTTGGTGTTGTTGGAGAAGATGATATTGGTGAGGTACGTGGACTTTTTTTTTTTCTTTTTTTTTTGTGAATTTGCTCACCTCACATATTCTATTATTTTTAAAACAACTTACGGGAATTTGGTTTGTTCAGTTGATTTTTGACTATGAGGACCAAATGAAGATTCCATATCTCAGACAATTTATACAGGAATTAACTGATGAGGCCGTGCAGCTTAGGTATCCAACTATACATAAATATCTATCATACTTTTTATTTGTTAGTTTCTTGAAATGATTCTATATATTCTTTAATGTGATGACTGATGCCTACTAATACAGGAGTAATGTTGAAGGTGAAGTAGGAAACCAAGATGTACACTTTCCAGTGATGCGTCCCAAACTACCTGGGAGGTTTTATTATCTTTTTGGAAACCCAATTGAAACACAAGGTATGTGATGTGATGTTATGTTATGTTATGTTTATAAGGAAATTATTTACATTTTTTTTCCGAATGGTCGTTGGTTTGCAGGGAGACAGCAGGAGCTAAGGAACAGGGACAAGGCACATGAGTTGTATGTAGAGGTGAAGTCGGAGGTAGAAAGGTGTCTATCGTATCTAAAAGAGAAAAGACGGAATGATCCTTATCGGAGTATATTATCACGTTTGGTTTACCAGCTCACACATGGCCCTGAATCTGAAATCCCAACATTTGAACCCTAAAATTCATTTACTTATCACAATTTATACAAATCATATTCATACGGGACTTGTGCTACGTATGGTTTACAAGCTTACGATTTGAAAGATAAAACTCTAAAATCCTAAAACTTATGCTCATGTTGCACATATCCATTTTGAAAGATAAAACCCAAAAATCGAAGTTGTTTAATAGGAGAATAAGCACCTTACGTCTTACGATCCATAACGCTAAGAGCTAAGGTCGGTGATGTTGTAAAGCAAATGCAAAGCAAATGCTACTGAATCGTCATTGATCGAAAGTGTAATTCGGGATTGCTTCAGTTGTGTTTTTATTTTGAAAGAGATGCAAAAACCCAATCATGCCCTCATCATAATAGTTTAATAAAATTTACAAAAATACCACAATGTTTCAAAAATCAGTTGAACCCGTCTGACGAATGGTTTCGGTAATAAAATCATGAACACAGGAACATACACATACATCAATTATAATGTGAATATAGGAATATAAAAATTATCATGGAACATAGACACATGAACATAAAAATTACAATCCAACAGACACAATAAAATCATGAACATAGGAATATAGACACACACACACACTAGTTTTTCATTTTATTATAAAAAAACATAATCAGATTTTTAGTTATCATCATACAACGAATGACAAGGCAAACGGGCAACAAGTTGCGCCGCTAAACCCTTTTGTATGGTAAAGCCAATTCTTTTGAAGACTACATTCATAGATCTAGGGGATATAACATTGCTATGCATGATCCGTTGTAGTTTACTAAGAAGCTCCACCGCATCCGGGGCAAGGAAACCAAACGTATCAAATGCAAATGGTATGAACGCGTGTTGATTTTCCATGCACGGTTTCTCATGTTTGGTGACCTTGCATGTAGCAGCTTTTAATGCAGTCTGTCCCGCCGTGAAACCCCCGACCCTCAAGCTTACGAGAGGGGATACCCCTGTAAGGTCCACACATGCGTGTTTCCCTCCAACCCATCCAAAAATCAAAACGTCAGCCGGTCTAAAGGTTGACCTTCCTTCTGTCGGGTCAGTCAGGAAATTTACAGGAGCCTCTTTCTTGGTGGAAACCCCGACACGCTTACATATGTCGACCAAAACATCCCTAACCATATCGTGCCTGTATTTGAACCCCGAGAGTTCTTTGCAATGAACTGCATGCTCGCCGAAAGAGTCCAAACATGCCTTGCGGCACACCGGACATATCCCATCGGTTAGGAATATTGGAATCATGAGTCGATATTTGAGGATGGTACGATACTCCACCGGAGACATATGTTGGCCAAACCCATCTATAGGGATAGCTAGAAGAAAATCTTGAGCATGTGGTGCACGTAAACACTGGAAAACTGCTTTCTGCCGAGCCGTCATATTGAAATTCACTTCCATATCTTGGATAATTTTACTAAAAAGGGCGCTCGCCAGTGTATTCTAGGATTTAGGGGGGGGGGGGTGTCCTTAGTAGTAAAACTGCTAAGGTCAATGTCCGAAAGCTTGTTACGAAGAGAATCTAAGGCACAAGCATAATCAGAATCCATACCATAAATGCCGCTATCCCGTAAGATGTGGTCTTGCAATACCCAAGATTGGGCCCTTGAGGCAACAAAAGCATATGAGGTAACCTCTACTGCCGAGTATAAACCCAAACCACCAAACCGAATGGGTAGGGAAGCAAGTCGCTACTGTAAGTCGCCAAAGAAGGGGCCACCACAAACCACAATGTCCTCAATCGCCCCGCGTAATCCATTATCGAATAACAACGCCGCCTCCTCCATGTGAACGGGTTGGCACGTCCTCAGCCCAAAGAAAAGTTTAGCAATACCCATAAAAGACCGAAGTAGAAGGAGCTCACTCTGTGGGTCAGACAATTGTGGAAGAAGGCGCATCAAATTCACAGCGCCTTCAGCTCTCTTTATGGCTAAGTTGCTAATGAAACTAGCATCTCTGCTAACAACTCCCCCGAGAAGTTTCACCCCCAATGGCGGCCTCCCGATGCCAACCGAGAATAGCCCCTCACGCAGCTTCCTTCCATCACACGAGGGCCAAAAGAGCTCGGTTTTATTGATATTCAACTGAAAGCCCAATTTTGGGCCAATAGCCTTAATGATGTCTAAGGCTTTGGCCACCTCCTCAGAATCTCCAATTAGTGTGCCAGCATCCAGGTACCATGCATGGAGAAGAAGCTTGCAATTGTCTCTAATATTATGCAAGAGCGGGTGCAACACAAGGGCAAAGAGAAGTGGTCCCAAGGGGTCTCCTTGTTGAACTCTAGTAGAAGACCAAATATGCGTGTCCCCTAGATATAACCTTGCTGCTTGACCATATAGGAATTCTACCCATAGGGATATAGAAGGGCACCTCAATCTAACCTCATGAAGTAATGTGGATCTGTCAACAAGGTTAAAGGCATTGGAGAAATCCACAGTAAGCATGGAAAGAGACCCGTCATTGTGGCGTTCACTCAACACCCTGTTGGCGCTATGTAATACGGCTTCAGTGCCACCCGACACCCTGACCCCGAACTGAAAATCATTAAGATGTTGGGTCCTCTACGCATCAAATACACTCTAAATCTAGGCAGCGGAAAAATCGAAACAACGATATACCTAAGTGTACATGCATCCTATGGATCTATGGCTTCATGCTAATTACACCAACCCTAGAAAACTAAAACATAAGTAAGAAAACATACCTCTTATGATGCCCTTGATCTCCATGCTTGAGATCTTGAACCTCCATGGAGTTGCTTGGATGAAAGGACCCAAACCAGAATCCCTCTAATGGTATCACACCCAATGATACCAAAGAGTGGAATAAAAATAACTAGGAGAAGGGTCAATTTCACAAACCCAAAGAGGGTTAGAAATCGTCCCTATGGGAGGAGGAAGAAGGGTTGGCGAAAACTTCAAGCCAAGGTGCAAGGAGGAATGAAATCCCTAAGGCCCTATTTATAGCCTTGGATGCCTCCTTAGGTTTAGTACTCCTTCCCATGTGGGATGGAGGTATAACCACGAAATTTCACTCCTTTCCCATGTGGGATGGAGTGAATTTCATCCAACCCTAATTCCATAAGGGTTCTGGAACATTCCTGATTAACCAACTATCGATAAATGAACATTCAACCCTTTAATTAATTAAACTGTAAATTAATTCCCAAAATATATTTCCAATTAGTTTCTAATTAATTATTAACTATAATAATTAATAAACCAATTTCTCCTTTATTTATTCTACTCATTTTGGGTCTTGAGGGCAGCCCAAAAGGACCCTGCTATTATTAGAAATATTACCAATAGTTAATGACCTTGGACACTATTCCAACAGTCTCCCACTTGGACAAGTCATCAACTATATGAGGACCAATATTTCTCCAATAATCAACAGAGAGTTAGCCATCTAATGCAACTACCGAACTCTTGATCTAATCAAGATTCAGCCCTTAGATAACTGATCAGCTATCCCTTCGTTCTATGATATCTGTATGAATTAGAGACATGGATAATGGTCAATCTCAGAATTCAAGATTATGTTTCCCGATATAGATTTGTGACGACTGCATCTGACTACTAAATTGAACACATCAATTCCAATCAGGGCTCGGCCAAGCACTTTAGATGTCAGCACCAAATCATCGAGGGGCCCATAGATATCGCTTCTCCTATTAAGGCAGAAGGAACGAATAAACTTCGACTACATAGTTTTTGTCTATTTCATCATGTCACACATGGACATACCCTTTATAACTACCAGTTACGGTTAGCGTTGGAGTAGACCAATGCATAATAGAATCATAGAGCAAAACCCCACATATATCTAGGTTTGAAGAATAGAAGATATTATCGTCTTAGAATTACTTGTGACTGAATCCATGAAGTAATCTCTAAGCGTGGGTTGGTCCAATACTTAAATCTCTATTAAGCACTCATGAGTGTTAGCGCAATCACTATGCTATGTCTAATCAATATGGACAATCCACCAATACTCATGACAATCTTGAATCACTACTTACTTCCAAGAGTATGACCGACTGTGGACGTTTGAGTAAATTAATACTCGGGAAGTGGGTTCCAAACATGCAAAAGTGAGAACGCAATGATAAGCTAATTGAAATGACCGAACTCCATCATATATTAAGATCACCACTTAATAATCGCCAAATCAAATTAAACTTATACCGCTTAAGGTTTTCGGGTTTTTAAAACAAACCAAACTAAGAGTGTTTAAGCCAATTCATTTACAAATCTAATGCCTCTCGACTTTGTCTGACTGTCAGACATGGTCAATGACATCGACTTATGGAATGGATCGACAAGATTATCTTTCGATATGAATCATTGACTATGATGACTTTACATTTGAATCACTATCAAATGTGTTGGTACTTACTGAGTATGTTTCATGTGAGCTCGTGTGACTTGGGATCCATACTCGAGGTAAGTTCACCCAAAGTCCCAAGAAACTTCATAAGGACCATCAATGATTGAATTTCAACAAAGATGTCACTAATGAATCTCTTTCAGTCACATTGTCCACTTTGAAATTTAACCAACTACAATATACTCTAAGTATGTTAAATCCACTATGGTGTATTACCTGGTACTCTTTCAAGCTAATATATCACCATTCAGTAAAAGCACGAATTCCGACTGCGAACGGAATTGCCTTTATTATTGCGGAACTTAGCATCAATGTAACTCTTACAATGATCTCTTCCATACTATCAAGATCATCTCTTCTGTCCTCCAAGGACACTTAAGAATGTTCTTGATCTTGATTCATTGATTCTTGCCAAATTGATCTAATCAAACTTGTCATGCTCAAGGCATACGAGTCATTAGATCTAGTACATGTCATGGCATTTATGATCGATCCCATAGCAGAAGCATGTGGGACACGACTCATTTGCTTTAGCTCAATAGTAGAACTAGGACATTAGCATTGCTCAATGTCATGCCAGCCTAAAATCCTTTTTGAGTTCTGCATGTCGAGTTTCCTCAACATTCAATGTACTTTGGCTTAATCCAATGAATCACTT